AAACTAAACAAGAACAAATGAATAAAAACAAACTGAAGAAATAATCAAGAAATGATAAACAACGAACAAGAAAAGAATCAAACATATACTGATTTCAGATCCGAGAATATCAAACAAAATACGGACAGAAAATGAAACTTAAACCAACTAACCGGAAATGACCGCAACAGAACAGAAACCCGGACAACAACCTCGACGTACCGGATCTCGACTCAACGAAAACCCACCTTCTCTTTTAACCTCGACGAACTCAGAACGACAAACGACGACCTCGACGGATTGAACCTGAAGAACGACCAGACAACAATTGAGTTTCCAGGTGTGGTTGTTTGACGATGAAACTGGACGGACATGGTGTTTGCGAGGCTGTGCGATGGGTTGAAGAAGGAAGTAGCTGCGTTTGGTGTTCGATGAATGACGAAGCAGCTATGGTTGTTTGGACGTGAGGCTGTGTGTGTGTGTGTTGAGCAGCTGGTCGGGAGGAGGACCTGATGGTCGGAGCTCGCGACTGGATGAAGGAGAAGGCAACCATGGACATGGAAGCTGGAGCTGGAGATCGACGGACGTGAGGGCTGCTAGTTTGGCGATGGTTTTTCCGGTGATTGGAGGGCTGCTAGCTGGCGAAGAAGAAGACACAACAGCCATGGTTGCTGCTGGACNAAAAATCCTAAATTATCCTATAGAACTAAATTAATTTATAAAAGTGCAAATTAACTCTTAATAACAATTAACACATAATTAAATAGCAATTACGATAAAATCACACAATTTGGACATTAAATGCTAAAAATGCAACGTACATTATTTTTATGATTTTTTTTGTTCTTGTAAAAACAAACTTAATTGCTCCTAATTGTAAAATTAAATCCTAAATGCAAATGCGATATATTTTTGTATTTTTATTAATTTAACAAATAAATATGCACAGACAAATACCAATAATTATCCAAAATGCCACAAAAATTCTCAAAATTGCACACAAAGGAAAATTATTTTATTTTGAATTTTTGGGAGTAATTCTCACATAGGGCAAAAATCACGTGCTCACAGTATGTCAATACTAGCTTTCGGGATACGTTCCAGAGATGAGTAATTAGTTATTCCATTACTTAATTCCTGTAAAACTAGTTTACTTCTAGGAATATGGTTTATTAAATAGCCCTCTTCTAAAATATGGTATTTGTCGTAATAATTACCTTCTTTTCTTTGGGACAATAAAATAAACCGCCTTTAGTTCCTTTTGGATATCCAATAAAAATGCATACTTCTGTCCTCGATTCTAATTTATCCGCTTTCCCTTTACGCATATGTTTTGTACAACCCCAAATCCGAATGTGTCGTAAACTTGCCTTGTGCTCAGCCTACAATTCTACTGGAGTTGAAGGTACTGACTTTGAAGGAACCAAATTTAGAATATAATTTGTTGTTTCTAAAGCATATCCTCAAAAGGAAGAAGGCAAAACGGATTAACTTAACATTGATCTACCCATTTCCATAAGGGTCCTATTTCTTCTTTCTGCCACACCGTTTTGTTGTGGTATTCCTGGAGAAGATAATTGAGATATAATTTCACAATCAGTAAGTATTTAATGAATTCCGCATAAAGGTATTCACCACCACGATCAGATCGCAATGTTTTGATATATTTATCATGTCGTTTCTACATTTCCGTCTTAAATTTTTTGAATTTCTCAAAGCATTGAGACTTATGGCGCAACAGATAAATGTATCCATATTTTGAGTAATCATCTGTGAAAGTCACAAAATACTCAAAACCACCTCTTGCTTGTATATTCATAGGGTCACAAATCAGAGTGAATTAATTCTCTCTTATCGCTAGCTCTATTTTCTTTTGTGGGAAAATGTCTCTTGGTCATTTTTCCTTCTAAACACGATTCACATGTTTGCAGTGACTCCACTTTCAGTGAACTCAAAGATCCACCAGAGACCAATCTCGAAATCTTATTTAGATTTATATGACCCAGACGTAAGTGCCATAAATAAGTTCGGCTCAATTTAGAAATACGTTTCCTTTTATGTGGCGGATTAATGTTATTTAATTCTTTTGGTTGTTGTAGCGCATTAGGAGATATATCAAGAATAAAAAGGTCATGTACTCTAGCAGCAGTGTAGATAAAACATTTATTAAACTTAATAACAACAGAGTTATTAGCAAAATAAACATTATAACCAGCATCCATTATTTTCGAACCCGAAATCAAATTCCTTCTAATAGAAGGTACATAGAGAACATCTTTCAAAACTAAAACTCTATCACTACTAAACGAATCTCTAATATCTCCTAATGCTAAAGCTTGTGCTGGCTCGCCATTGGCTTGAAAAACGCAAACTTCATTCTCACTAGCCGCTATGTTTCTCGAAACCCCTGCAAAGTAGTGCAAATATGATTAGTAGCTCCTAAACCTACACACCAAAACATGGTAGAGACAGCCGCTAAACAAGTTTGAACGACATTTAAATTTAAATTACCTTGCTTATTCAACTTTTCCAGATAGGAAGGGCATTGTTTTTTTGTGATGCCTAGGTTGCTTGCAATGATATCACTTTCCTTTGGGCTTTTTCACATCAGCCGCACCTCCAGGTGCCAAAACCTTTTGAGCCTTCATCTTTTTCTTATCACCTTTCGACTTAGAAATCGAAGCTTTCTCAACATTCAGTGTCACAACTGGAACTTGATGTTTGATAATAGATTATGCCCCTTACAACTCATTTAATAATTTTGCCAGTGACAAATCCATTTTGTTTATATTATAGTTGAAGCGAAAAAGTTGAAAACTGTCAGGCAGAGTCTGCAGGACCATCTCAACTTGAGATTCCTTATCAATCACAGCTCCAAGGACCTCCAGTTCATTCAGAAGACCCATCATCTTTAGAACATGGTCTCTGACCGATGATCCTTCAGCCATCTTGGTATTCAAAAGGGATTTCATGGCTGTCTGTTTAGCCGCACGATTTTTCTCATTGAATATCTCCTTGAGACTTTCGAGCATGTCATAAACAGACCCCATAGACTGATGTTGATGTTGCAAAATATTCGCCATAGAGGCAAGAATGTAACATCGCGACATCTCATCAATCTTGACCCATTTATCATAGGTCTTAACCTGATCATCAATAGTAGTTTTAGGTTTTTATGGGAACTCCTAAGTGATTATAAATTTGTAACCTTCAGCAGTTAGAACAATATCAAGGTTCCTTTTCCAATCAACATAATTCGGTCCTTCTAATTTGTTTTGGTTCAAAATTGAGGTAAGTGAGTTAAATGAAGACATAGTTAATCTGAGATATATTCACATTAAATAGATAATTAGTTATGTATTTAGAATAATTAAATTCAAAAAGCACATTACACATATAACTATGCTCATTGAACAGTTAGATTCGTTAGGGAAACTTAACTATTCATGCAAAATATATGAGTTATGTAAGATATTTACCCCATAAATTAAAATAGGACCAACTCAGATAGAGAGTAAACTGTTAATTTAAGATAGGTAAATATCACTTTCATAAACTCTAGTTTCATTGAATCAACATGTAACTCAGTTAGAGAGTTAATACAAGTAATCAAATAACTAGAAGCAAAACTACAGTAATCATCTATTATGAACTTATCCGATGTGGAAGAAGACCTATGTCTATATAAATTCATTATATTACTGTAAAACATGATTGGAAACCATGGGAATTGAACCCTACCAATACTATTTTCTTAATTTTTTTTATTTTTATAAAAATAGTTTCCAAAAAATAGAAAATGGCCAAAAACCGATCTAAACGACCCCGAATGGCCAAAAAATGACGTATATCATGAGCAAAGCTCATGTGTATTACTCACTGGGTAGTTTTCGAGGAACTTACTAAATTTGAGGTCAATCGGAGTTCGACAGAATTTCAGAATTCCAAATTCATGACTTATTTGTAGAATTCTGTTTTTGGCATTTTCTATGGTTTTAATTATTTTGACTCGTTCAAATCACGTAATATACTTATGTATATTAATTCATGATTTCAGAACTCAAAATAATATTGTTATTACAGTGTTATGTAAAAACAGTTTTAGAACAAAATTGTAAAAAACCGAATATTTTTCACCCGTTCAAAACGCCACTATTCATAATTTCGTATATTAATCCATAATTTCAGAACTAATAACATTCAAAATAGCCATGTTTTTATTAAAGCAACACTGTGATTATGGAAAAAAATACAACTAAAACAGATTAATAGTATTAATCCACTATTTATATATAAATTCATAATAACAGAATTAAAATACTAATAAAAACAATCACGTTTTTGACATAGAATAATCATACCAAACATATATCATTAAATATACACGTTTTGATATTACTCTATTCATGTTGTATTACATTATCTAGTTAGATGTAAGACGGATCTAATATCAATTGTTAGAACATACACAGCGAAAGCAAGCAGACAATTCAGGCATCAAATACATATAAACTAAACAATGATATAATTACTATATTAGAAGCACTAACCTCTTGAAATTGTTGCACAAATCCTCCACATAACAAGAATCCAGGGTTGTAGTCTTCTGCTATGGTCCTAATAAAACCTTGGACGAATTTAATTTGAGTGGGCAAGAACAATACAACTCTAAAAGATGAGTTATTGGGTGTGTCACGACCCCGGTTCACCCTCCATGAACCATCGTGACGGCACCTAGTCCTCTACGAATAGGTAATCCTAACAAATGCGAAATATAAACGAAACTTGCGGAAGAAATAATCAAAGGCCAAAATAACCGAATGAAAATAATAATTAAAATGCCGCTCGGCATATACAACACAATATTCTCAGAATCAAGTACACTATCCCAAAATCCGGAAACTCACGGAACCACAAGCCTTTGGATATCTACAATGTCTAACTCTAGAATATCTAACAAGGAAAAGAAACAGAAGGGCAAATGCTTAAAAGCTAGAATAGAAAGGGACTCCTCGGTCTGCGGACGCGACAGATATACCTCGAAGTCACTGGAGCAGTCGCCTCGCCTCAAGGTTGATCGGATTGAGTCGCAGTACATGGATCTGCACATGAAAAACATGCGCAGAAGGGGCATGAGTACACCACAGCGGTACTTAGTAAGTGCCAAGCCTAACCTCGGTCGGGTAGTGACGAGGAAGGTCAGGGCCCTACTGAGGTTAAATAAATATAAAGATCAACAGTATAGAACAGAACAATATAAATAAATACAGCAGTAAAATAACACAGGATGTACAAGACATCAACGACTATATAGAAGCAAGGTAAATACGGAAAAGAAATACAGCTCAACACCAATAATAACACTCGGGGATCTCCCAGGATACCGCCATGTAGTCCCATATGTACATATCTAATGGATCTTCCGAGATCCCGTCCTGTAGTCCAACTCATAGTGCGCGGAGATCTACTGGTATCCCGTTCTATAGTCTCAAATGTAAATACCTAGTATTGGGGGAATCTACCAGGTGCATTCCCGTAGTTCCATATAACTGTGCAGGGGGATCTACCGGAATTCCACATCCGTAATCCCAAAATAAATAGACAAGGGGGAGCTACCGGAATCCCACACCGTAGTTCCAAAATAAATACACAGCAACAACAGAAAAATATACAGAAATGACAAAGTTTCATATTAAGGCAACAAGTGATTCTAGCCTAGCATGCTGCATAGAATTCAGGTAAGGCAGGTTGAGCAAATAAAGAAATTAAGTCACTTAGACAAGCTTTCCTAATAAAACAACAGGCTTAATAGTGCAAGTAATAGAAATAGGAAAGAAAACATTCTAGTAATTACTTAAAGAAAATTGGATTTCCAACAATTAGTACTAGTACGCACTCGTCACCTCATGTACAAGGTATTTCAATTACCAAATATACCAATCATAAGGGGAAGGTCCCCCACACAAGGTTAGATAAGCCATTTACCTCGAACCGGCTCAAAATCAACCCGAGATCACGTTCTTGCCATGAGTACTCGACTTCAAATGACCCAAATCTATCAATTCAATTTCATAATATAAATAACACTTCAAGTAACTGATTCTATAATTAAATTCTAAGCTAATACGTGAAGTTATGTAAATGACCAAAACGCCCCTCAGGCCCACGTCTTAGATCGGGTAAAATTTATATTTTCAGAATCCTCACACTCTCACGAGTCTAACCATATAAAAATTATCACAATCCAATATCAAATGCCCAATCAAAACTCAATTTCTTGGTCTAAGAACTTTTCCCCCAATTTCCACCATAATTTTGAAATTAAAGGATGGATTTAAGTGTAGATTCATGGAAATTAGTCTAAACCGAGTAGGAATTACTTACCCAAATCGCCCAGGTAAAAATCTCTTCAAAAATCGCAATCTCCCGAGCTCCCAAGTCCAAAATATGAATTATGGCTTAAACCCTTGATTTTGAGTTTTAAAAATTTGTCCAGGCAATTCCTTAATCGCGATCGCGTAGAACAAAAACCACGCGCCTCATATTTACTCTACGCGAACGCAAAACCCCATTCGCGAACGCGATGCTTAGCTCCCTCAGACTTACGCGAACGCGGTTGGCTTTACGCGACCGCATAGAGAAACATTTAAGAATCCACTCCCGCCTTATTTCTTCTATGCGAACGCGGCCTAGTCCACGCATTCGCGATTCAGCACTGCCCCAAAGCTACGCGTTCGCATTCCTCTTCACGTGAACGCGAAGAGCGAAATTCTCTCTGCCTCGACTAAGCCTTCACGATCGCGATCCTCCCCACGTGATCGCAATGAAGAAAAGTCTGCAACACATACCAGCAAAAATCTGATGCTTTTCCAAGTCCAAAAATGGTCCGTTGAGCATCCGAAACTCACCCGAGGCCTCGGAATAATGCTGTATTCTGGGCTAGGCCCGTGCCTAAATGGGCCAAACGGGCCAGGCTTAACGGGCCTGGGCTTGGCGGGCCTGAGCTCTGGCGGTCCCGGGCTTCGTGGGCTCAATGGGTGGAACCAGCCCGTGACGGGCCTAAGCCCATATGGTCCCGGGCTAAACGGGCCGGGCTCGTGGGCTTAGCGGGCTTAACGGGTTTTTTTATTTTCGGGCTTTATTTTAAATTTTTTTTGTTTAAGGCAATTTTTTGTAAACCATATCATGGCTATATAAAAAATATATATGTAGAAATCTAATTATTAAAGTGCTTGACGAAAAAGTAAAATAACAAAACAATAGTAAAACTAAATTGCTATGCATAATAAATTAATAAGAAAGTACAACATGAAGCATAAATACGTCTAATAATTTTAAAATAACACAAATTGTTGAAA